GAATGAATGAATGAATGAATGAATGAAAAGCATTTAGGCAACAATATCCCATATAAAAAGCATGTAAAAAAAAGACTATAGAAAGACATAATAGCTGTGTTCAGGTATCTGAAGGGCTGTAGTGTAGAAAATAGGGAAGAAGCCAGCATAAGAAACAATGGATTAAAATTATAAGGAAGTATAACGAAGATTTAAATTCAATTAACAGAACAAAATTAATGGGAAGAGTTGTCAATAGTAGAACAGATGGCCATTGGAGATGGTAGTGTCTCTTCACTAAAGGTGGCTTAAACAAACAAGCAGTAACTATCCATTGGGAATACTGTGGTAATGAATCATCATCATCATTATCATCATCACCACAACAAGAACAACAAGAACAACAACCTAATAATAAAGGTCTCTTCCAACTCTGTTATTCTATGAGTTAATCACTTGGTACAGACTATATGATCTCTAATGTCCCTTCTAATTTTTACATTCTATGATTCTCTATGAATACAGTATCTTTCTATGAGACAGAGAATGTCATGAGTAAGGACAATATTTGATGTCTGAGCTGTCCTGAGGCTTCTTTCCATAAACGTAGTGCAGAACTTTGTTGCAGCCATTTCACTTAGTCCATGTCATCAAATAATCCATAGAGGTCTCACAAATGCATTGCTTTTGGGAAGGGAGTTGCTTCTCTACCTAAAATTCAAACCCCAAACAAGGACAACTGACAATGGACATCTAATACTTTCATAACTTGTAGGTAATGCTATGTAACTTTCCTCGGTGATGACATCATTGCTACTGAGGAAAAATAATGAAAAAAGTAAGTGTGAAGTTGTCAAAATATTCTGAACTAAAAGTCTGGTTACTGCTTGTGATCAAAGGCAGCACAGGGAGCTTGCATTAGAACCTGATTTGTTGCACTGAGAATATTAATGTTCAAAAGTCTGTTGGTTTCAGAAGGAGAAGGTGAAAAATTAATGTACTGTTGAGAGGAAGGGGAAAAATTGCTTTGGATATACACAGTTAATTTCACAATTTCTGGCAGTAATGTTTTTGAAATATCTCTTGGGTCTTAATAGTATAGTAATGTGTAGTAAATACATTTGAGAAGGCTGCCAAAGCAATAATCAAGTGTCAAACTTGTATTGATTATTATTGTTATTATTACAATTGCTTTTTCATTTCTATTGCTTATGACTTATTCATGGACCATATTTGTTTTAATTGAAAAGCTTAATCATTTAGTTATTTAAATGTATTAGCTGGAACTGGCCAATGAATTCAGGGCAGTGTGCAAAACTAAAAAAATATATATAAAAACAGTTAAAAACATTGACTCACAGAGGTTGCCCAGACTAAATAATCTAATAGATGTCAAAACAACAACACAAAACAAGGGACATTGAACGAACAATAAACATCAACCTTAGGCCTGGGACCAAAGCCAAGTTTTCAGAGCTTTCCAGAACTCCAAAGGAAAGGCCAACCTTATTTGTCAGGGAATTATGTTCCACGGGGGGTGGGGGTGGGTGTGAGGTGACACAACAGAGACACCCCACTTCCTAGGTTCCCCAAGGTGGCAATGTTTAATGGAGGGAACCTGGGCCATTGCTGGATGGTACTGGATAAACAGAAACAGTTGTAGTTAAGCAGTGTATCAGATATCCAACCCCTATGCCACCTAGGACTAAGAAGCCAATTAATGCTTATGCCACTGCATTTGAACCCACTCTAGCTTCCAAGTGGTCTTCAAGGGCATCCCCATATAGAACAATTTGCAATAATCCAATTTTGAGGTGACTAGGACATGGGTGTCCACATCAATGACTCTTTCTCAAAGTTTGATAAAGATTTGACAAAGTTTTGCTGAAAAAAATACTTACATTGTTTCATAAACAGAGATCGTATAATCCCAGAATATGGGGGAATTATATTCTATTGTAATCATAATGAGAGCAATAAATAAATAATCAGATGAATAATGATATTTGGGAGTTATAATGTGGATCTGAGATAATCTTCTCCATGTAACTGGTGGGCATTTAATTGTAAGATCTTTGGAGGACTAACCTGCAGCAGAATTCAAAGATGTAGTATGAACTTAGATATTGGAATTGCGAGAAGGAAGAATTTGGAAACTGTGCTTTAAAATGTATATGCCACAGGAAGGAACTGAGAGTCAAAGGGAATATATGCCACAAATAAGGCTAAATAATGCTGAGCCGATATAAGAAACTGATGGAGAATTTCTTATTCCTTGTAGAATTCTTTTTTTATATAAATTGTTTAACTTCAAAGAGCTTATATGCAAAGAGCTCTACATTGGCAGGTGAAAGTTACTGGAATATGTTAACAACTGGGGTTCAAAACATGGCCTGAACCCTCAACAATATAACTAGAGGTAACTAATTTCAAATCTTTTCCTCAACATTTCAATCTATAGTTTTCATCTATATTTCACCCAGATTCTGAATTTCCATTTGCTCATAATAATTTATCCCATAGTGGAGATGGCAAGCTGTTTTGTTGTTGTTCTCCAGTTCCATGGCTTGTTGCTTTTTGTTTATTATAAATTTGCATAGTTTTGTTGTGAGTGGAACATCTTTGGTCAGACACTCCCTTATTTGCAAACTTTGCCAACAGGCTAGAACGCATAGCTGTAATTTAAGAATCAACTGAACTGATTGTTTAGTAATTAACAATAAACTCAGGAAAAGTGCCTAAAATATCCACTGGGACATGTCCTCATCATTGTATAATGTGAATTCTGACAAATCCTGTCTGGGTGTCGCTGCATGTGATATATTTCATCAATGTTTCCATTTCTTTTTATTCCATAAAATTTCAGGAGTGTTACCCGGTGGTTATTCTAACCCCTCAAATATTGTTTTAAGATGTATGATGTGATTTGCCTAATAAATGACTAACTTAGCCATGAACGTGGCAAAAGGAAGAATCAATTCTCAGAATTATTGCAAAGTTTTTGAGGCTTTCTACACACTAACCCAAGATAACCTCAGAGTTTACTGGAATGGATGGCCATAACAAATTGAATCAATAATAATAATATTGGAATGAATCTATATGTTCTATAGCCACTTGTGTATACAATTTACTACACCAGTAGAGCTATACATGGAGACCTAACTCTCTATGAATACTAAGTCCTAAATTGGTTTGGTGCATTAGAACTGAAAAGAACCACAGGCCATTTAATTCAACCCCAATTTCAAAAGAAAGAGAATTCAGTCCTCAACTTCATCAATCAAGTCCGCAAGACATCTAGCAGAGAAAAAGTATACTGAAAAAGTCTGCCAACAGAGCTAACAGCTTCTGATTGCTTAGTTATTTATAAAATATTTATAGATTCTTCCAACTGTGAGACATTGGGTGGCATTCCAAGACTTGCATCAGAATCCATCACTGATTTGAAGGCATCAAACAAACAAACAAAAAAGTCAGGGTTCTAAAACAATTTTGGAACTTGTAGACTCTCCTATTGAAATTGTCTGTGTGTGCATGGCATCAGTCAAACACAGCTGCTGTAACAGAATTTGGTGGGAAATTTATTCTATTTTTCTTTAAGGAAATGAATCTACTGGTGGGTTTACTTCTTAGAAAAATCTACATCAAAGTGAGCACAGCTTTAGCAAACTACAGTTGAAACCATAAGAATACTCCCTCCATTCTCCATTTTCCTTTCTGTTACCCCCCCACCCTTTTGTCATTCAGACATTTTTCTGACTTTCCCTTTCTGATACATAATAAACTGTCAGAATGAAATATTTCACTTTTATCAGTTGTTTAAATTGAATGTTTGCAATGGGCTTTTCAAATCAGGGTACAGACTGCATGTGGTCTTCAGATACTTTTCTTTTAAGGTTGTTGACTTGCAATATAAAACCGGGATGGGGGAAAGTAATCTCTGAATTTAAATAAGTTTGTCACTTTGGAATTGCCTTTTATCCCCCCCCCTTTGGCAAGCACCCCATGCTTATAGAAATACCTGACATGAGATGACATTTTTGCCATTCATATACTGAGAGGGGAAGTGATAGCTCTGAAATCTAGTTTGCTATGCAGATGTTAAGGAAGGATATTTTATAGAAACTAGTGCTTGTGTGTTTATGCTGCATAAATTATTTTACAGATACACTCTAGAAACCTGTTTCTTTATATCATTCCAGGGCTATAACCCTTTGAAAATTTGTATATTTTTAAAAAAAAAACATTCCTGAGAGATTGGCATCAAAGCAATGCTGTTATTTAATTTCTTTCACAGTTAACTTTTCTACAAAGTTGCCTCTACAAAGTTTGAGTTACCTCCTTGGGCTAGCCTTGAATTTTCAAATAGTTTCTTTGCTGATACATTTTTTACTTTCCAGGTTGTGAACCCTCAAAATGTCTACCATACTGCCTAAAATCCAACCCTGAGTGTTGATGAAATACAAATATCACCACATCAATAGAAAGATTTTTTTTTTTATTAGGCTCAGTTCTCAAAATTGCCTTGCTGGCAATTCATCACCTGAATCAAGATGCCTTTGTTACTTTTGGCGCAATGAAGGAATTCTTTGTGCTATGTTGTATTTACTACCATTACTTTGAATGAACAAAGCTATTTATGCCAATATTTTGAATTATTTGTGGTAATACCTTCCTCAATAATCAGAAATCATACACCATCAAGTTGTATTCCATACTTAGTGCTTGAGCTGGTCTTCCTTGAGCATCTTCTTCGATGGAAAGTCCACCATCCTTGAAATAATAAACTGTTCTTAACATGAAATGTATTGGCTTGATCAATGACAATGGACAATGTGAAGATCATGTAATTAACCATTTATTAACAACAGCTGTGCTAACTGCCACAGCTATAACTGAAAACTGCTTGGAACTCTGCCTGACAGCTCTTATCTAGCCAGCTGTCAGGCGGCTTAACCAATTAACCAACAGAACATTACTTTAACCAATCAACGAACAGAATGTTACTTCCTACTTCAGCAGACTTAATACATTGCACCCTTTTCCACCTGGATGGCGCATGTGTAGTCCTGGAGGTATGCCGGTCAGCACCGGCTTCCGATCAAACGTCTTAACCCTGCCTCACTCACAGACTCTTGCGAGGAATTACTTTCCCCAGAAGTTCTAATAACTACAGGTACGTTACTGCTTTTGACCTGTGTTTCAATTTCTCCCTCGGGGTTTGTCTTGTCCGAAGTAATCTGTTGGCTCAAACTCTGCTGCTCAGAGTCTGGTAGCTTCTCAGCTTCTGGTATGCCCCTTAACCCCTGGCTGAAACTTTCTCCTGCCTGGGTTCTATCTTTCTGTTATATCATGTTCAGTACCCCATTTGACCCATAGCTGGTCTTGGTGACGTCTCCAAACCTTGCCTTGTCCCATATCAACCTTATATGAGCATGGACCTGTAATATCCACCACCTTACCTGGTAACCATAATGGCCATTATGACCCCCATAATTCCTGGTGTACACTTTATCACCCACACCAAAAGGTTTAGATGTCCTACTTGAATCCAAAGGCTTAGCAGGGGCGTAACGGGGGTGTAACCTATTCAAAATTGTATGCAGCCAGCGACCCATCAGTAATTCTGCCAGACTCCGATTGGTAACCTGACAAGGGGTGGTGTGTTGCACTAACATATACTCCGCTATACGGTCATGCCATTTCCCTGGTCCCATGCGGCGTAATGCCTCCTTTGTGGATCTCACAGCCCTTTCTACAAGGCCATTACTGGCCAGGTGGTAAGGAGAGATAAGGGCATGCCTGATACCTAATTGGGCAAGGAACAACTCAAATGTAGTAGAAGTTAATTGGGGCCCATTATCTGACACCAATAGGTCAGGCAACCTGTGGGTTAAGAATAGAGTATGAAGGGCCTTTATGATGGCCTCTGAGGATATTGAGTGCATAAGTATCAGTTCAATCCATTTAGAGTACGCGTCAACCACCACTAAAAAAAATTTGACCATGAAATGGCCCCGCAAAGTCTATATGAAGGCGGGACCACGGGCCAGTGGGGTCTTCCCATTCCCTGGGCTTACCCTTAGGGGGCATTGGCCGAGATTCTTGACAAGGGCAGCAACTGGCCACCCAGTTGGTGATACATTGATCAAGAGTAGGTCACCAGAGATAGGTTCTAGCTAGAGCCTTCATTCGGACTATTCCTGGGTGTCCGGAATGCAATGATTTTAACACAGAATCCCATAAAGATTTTGAAATTACCACCCTGTGTCCCCACAATAAACAACCCCCCATGGTAGATAATTCCGTTTTATGGATAGTGTATGGTTTCCACTTCATGTCCACAGGCCCACCCCCTTAGCACCCAGTCCATGACTGTGGAGATCTCTGGATCATGGGATGAAACTCAAGCAATGTCAGCCGCCGTCAAAACAAAAGGTGAGTCTTCAATCATCAGGACTGACGAGGCGGGAGCTGGGTCAGAGAGCAACGTTGGCATGGGGCACCGGCTGAGGGTATCAGCATGGGCCAGATTCTTGCCTGGCACGTACAGGAGTGTGTAGTCATAGGCAGATAAAAACACAGACCACCTGGTGAATCTCAGGGATAGGAATTGCGGAGTTTGATAGTCAGCTGCTAGTAGACCAAGCAGAGGCTTATGATCCATCACTAGTGTAAAAGGTCGACCATATAGGTAATGATGAAACCGCTTGACTCCAGCTACCAATGCTAGAGCCTCCTTGTCTAGCTGTGAATAATTTCACTCCACTGAAGCCAAAGTCCGGGAGAAAAATGCAACAGGGGCTTCACGGCCATCAGGGAAACTGTGATTTAAGACTGCTCCCACCCCATAAGGAGAAGCATCACATGCTAGTACGAGGGGTAGGGACTTGCAGTAGTGAGCGAGGACAGAGTTTGAAACGAGTATACGTTTGATATTAGTAAATGCAGCGGCTGCAGTTGAATGCCAGTTCCAACTTGTCCCCCGCTTCAGCAAATGATGCAAAGGTTCCGCAATAGATGCCTTGTGTGGTATGAAAATTGCATAAAAGTTTAAAAGGCCTAAGAAAGCTTGAAGTTCGGCCTTGTTGGTGGGAGCAGGGGCATGTAAAATAGTTTTCGTCTTATTTTGAATTATTTGTGGTAATACCTTCCTCAATAATCAGAAAATCATACACCATCGAGTTGTATTCCATACTTAGTGCTTGGGCTGGTCTTCCTTGAACATATTCTTCGATGAAAAGTCCACCATCCTTGAAATAATAAACTGTTCTTAACATTTGGGACTTTTTTAAACATTCAATTGGAATTTGTCTTCTTATAATTTAATACCATAATCCTATGCCTAATATGCAGAAGTCATGGGTTTTTTTTTTCAGACATTTGAAAAAATGCTTTCATAATCCTGTCAGTCTTCTTTCTTCAAGGCTGAACCTACCCAGTTTCTTTGATCACTCATTGTAAGACTGAATTTTTACTCTTGTGAATAGACATTCTTCTCACCTCTTTCTAAACCTTTTTCACTGTTTCTGAATTATTTTTAAATTGTGATGTCTTGAACAGGAGAGTATGTACAAGCTGAAGTTTGAACAATGAAGCACAACATAAAATTACAACATCAACTGTAATAATTTGGAAGCTGTATTCATGCAGCCTAAAATTATGTTTAGCACTTCTGGATGCCAGATTGTAATAGTTGTTTCCCGAACGCCATCACTCTGCTAAACAAATAACTCCCTCAACACTGTCAAACTATTTACTAAGTCTGCACTACTATTAATCTTCTCATCGTTCCTATCACCCATCTCCTCCCACTTATGACTGTATGACTGTAACTTTGTTGCTTGTATCCTTACAATTTATATTGACTGTTTCCTAATATGATTTGATTGCTTATTTGTACCCTATGACTATCATTAAGTGTTGTACCTTATGATTCTTAACTAATATATCTTTTCTTTTATGTACACTGAGAGCATATGCACCAAGACAAATTCCTTGTGTGTCCAATCACACTTGGCCAATAAAGAATTATATTCTATTCTAGTCTAGTCTAGTATTGGCATATATTCAGATTCAAGATCTTTTTACAAGCATAATTACCAAACTAGAAGTTCTTCCCTTCCCCATGTCCACACACTGACCCACATACCTCACATCCATACATTTGATTTCATTAGGTATGTTTCAGTCAATTTTTCCTAACCCAATCTATTTCTGCTTCCAAGGCACTGATTGTCACACCAATTTGTTATCTGTAAAGTTGTCAACATTCCCTTCCCTTTGTGTTCCAAATCCTTGATAAAAAAAAAAGTTTAACAATAATTTGGCATACGATTTCTAAACCAAAACCGTATGTCCTTTCAGTGAGGTTAGTGATACATGATAAAGCTGCTAAAGAAAGATCTCAGATCTTTATTGATTCTGCTGTGTATCTCTAGTGACAACAAGTAGTATCTGGCCTTCCTAGTAATCCCTCCATCCTTGATAAGAATAGATGCTTGCTCACCAGTGTCTTAAACATGTAACTACAGCTATCTTTGCTGGATTTAAGCTGTGAGAGGATTCTCTAATGTGCCTTATAAGAAATTCCTTTTAGAAAGAAGAAACAGCCCATAAGAATGCTAGAAGCATAAACTGCATTTATATTGGTAGAAGCACCATTAGAAAGACCAATAATATAAAATGTCAGCAATCCCTCATGTTGCTAGGTAGGCCTAATGGCTTATGGCATAACAAAATGATGTTCCAGCGGCTTCCCATTTACTACAGGAATCTAAGTGGACAGGCTTTATACACAAGTGTGTGCAGTAACTAATGAGCTGGTATCAGTGATTACCTTTGTGAAGGGCCAACAACATTGATCAGCATTCCTTCACTAACATTTTGGCTTTAGCTATCCATAACAATCACACTGTCAGCTATAATTTCTAGTTGCTTGCTGTGTGAGCATTCTGCTTCCTTATCTAAAGAGGCTCCCTGCCCCAAATGCCAAAGATATAATATCATAGTTCATTCTGCTACTTCATGACAACATTTCACTGCCTATTGATTTTCCAGATCCTGTCTCACCTGATCCTGATCTGTGCATTTTGTATGTATGAACTCACAAATTGCAGTGGCTGCTTTGATAGATTTTTGTTTTGTTTGCTACAAGAACACTGAATTGCCATTATCCAAGTTAACTTAAAAGAAATAATCAAAATCCAAAAGGTTGGCTGAAGAATGTTAAAATAGAGGAGAGGAAGAGAGATAGATATGGAGATACTTTTTTCATTCTATATTTGTTGACATTCTCAGTTTTTAATAATCATAGACAGCATTCAGTTCATTTTCTGGTAAACCTTCAATTCCATTAATTATTTTTGTTTGTTTGTTTTTTACATTTATATCTTCTTTTTTTCTAAATCAACACTCAACTAGATTTGTCCACCCCAAAACCTCAACTTTTACTGTAGGCGCTTACCAGCACAACAGAGCTGTTTACATATGAATGAAATACAATAAAGCAAGAGATTACAGAAATGAATTGTGTACAAATAAAGCCCAAATAAACAGTACAATCTAAAAGTATAATGAACAGTTGATTAATAATAGATTACTTGTTAACACTGAGATCAAATTAGCCATCTTTGCATGAGTCTTTCTCCCCAGTCTTTCTCTTTACCACCCCATTATTGTTGCAGTAACAGTTTTTAAAGGAAGTGTGTTTCTATCATGAGTTAATTTGGTATTCAGTATGATAGCAGTGATAATAATGAAGTCATTTGGCTTCCATTATATAAGCATTAGATAATGGATACCTATATTAAAGTGTTACTGTTATGGTAGTGCTTATTTTTGTCTTAATTTGGTACAGAGTGCTAAATCTTCAAAGCAGAAGCTTTTATGCAAATTTTTGATGTTTATCTTTCCTTCTTCTTGACGTATTATATGCTAAGCCATTATTGTAAAAGTTCTTTCCGACTTGCAGTGGTCTTACCTTGTCAAGAAGCACTGAATCTATTTGTTTCTTCTTAGCATTTCCCTCTCACTTTCCATTCCTTTGTCACCCGTTGAAATACAGTTTCTCATGCTGCCTTCCTTGTAAATATATACTGCAATACTTCAGCAAACCCTTTCCTAATGTTAGCCATTGTAAAATGTTATAGTTTAAAATAGTGTATTGCATTCTAGAGGTCTGTTTCTCGGTGACATCTTCCTTCTAATTGTCAACTGCAGTTGGATTGATCCTATAAGCCAGGCATGTCAAACTGGTGGTCTGTAGGTTGGATGCATCACGCATAGGCCATGCCCACCCCAGCTCCACGAATGGGAAAAACGTTGCAAAATGTCACATGATGGCAACGTGAATGCCACGAGTTTGTCTCCCGTGCTATAAGCTGATTTTAGACCCATAGCTGATAATTTTAGAAAGAGTTGCAAAGCAAAATTTTAACTGATTTAACTTTAATATTTTTAATATATTAATATATTCACTTTCATCAGGCTATTCTGATTCCAGAGAGTTTTGCAACCCCAATAATGTTTTCTAGATCCTGGAAAAAATAAAAAAACAGTGCATTTATCTGCATACGATGGAAGCTTGCTTCATCCCCCAAATGAAAAATCTCTTGTGATACCTGGAACAGAGCAGAAAAATGAAAATGATGCAATCCCAATTAAAAATGGAATCCTAATCTGAAAAAAATACTTTTAAAAATACTTACTTATCCCACTAAAGGAAATAAGGAAAGGTTAAAACAAATTATTGTACCAGAAAATACAGTAAGGTCTGGTAGAGTTATATAGGATGTATTCAATGGAAAATTAATTGGAATTATTTAGGCCCTAAAGCCAATTTCCCATTCCAGAGGTTAAGTGTGGCCTCAGTGAATAGAAAATCCATCAAGGACAACCAGGAATATTTCTAGATTTATAAGAATAAAAACAGGGAATAAGTGATGTTGCTTCCTATAACTTCATAGAATTCCTATGAATTTAAAGGAAAATTAACTTCATCACCCTTCTACCTAATGGTTAAAATAAAGACCAAATATGTCCATTTTATTTTGTGGGGGGAAAAAAACTTCCATAGAATTTAGGACGTTTTGCACTGCTTCCAATGTCCTATCATGGTCATTAAACTCTTATAGATCAGACGTCTGAAGATATCTATAGCTATATGAGAAATCATACCAAGCAGTCTGACAGAGAGATTGTTGGAACAGAGTGGACAATGCACTAAGAGGATTTTACCCTATCCCTCCTATTAACAACATGAATAGACACTTCATGAGCTTTGTGATTGTTGAAGAGAGTAGAGCAGAAGCTAGAGAATTGTGATAAAACTCCGTAGACAAACAGATTGTTTAGTTTGCCCAAACTCATCACTAGTCTGCTAAAATTCATAAGAGTAGATCCAAGTAATCAATGAAGCAGTAAAGAATTTTGGGAAAAAGTAAACTCCAAAATGAGCATATAATTTTCAACAAAACCTGTTCTATGCATTTATCAAGGTCTCTTAATAGACTGCTTTCTAAGATTTGTTTTCTTGCAAAACATACACTGATGCTCTGCAGTTGCCTCTTGGTGAAATATTAATAGATCACTCTATCTGAAGTTTCATGCAGCAATACGTTATTTCAAATCATTGCATTAAAATAGTTTCTCTGAAATACAAAACGTTCAAAATGGAAATGATGTAACTCATTCTGTTCTTTTTGAAGGTCTAAGAAGGACTATTTTGAGAAGCTCAATATGTCTCCTCAACCTCATAGCAAATGGGCTTGGTTCAAGAATATTGTGTATCATTGATCAAATTTTAGTCACTCTAGTTGAATGATACAATCTTGATTCCTTGAATTTGCTTCCTAGAACAAAGTATAAACTTTAGTGGGCAGATAAAACTGGATAAATTAATTTGTCTTTTCATCTTGAGTTACTCCTTGGAGGATATCATTAACATAAAAACATTGTAAATTCATAGGTCTGGCAGCTTTTGCCCTGCAGAGGCAAAGACTTGAGTAAATATGGAGATTTAGAGATTTACTGTCTTATCCTTTGAAAACGTAATTTCCCTAGGTAGGAATAAAGAGAGATGGGCATAGCTGTGGAAAGTGCCTTAAACATTATATAGCTAAACTGTGCTGCAGCATAGCGGAATTCAATTTATTTGGGGGATGCTTATTCTTCTTATTAGTCATAGTTGCTTTTGTACAATGAGAGCAAAACAGAATCTTTAACTCTTTTTTTTTACTATTGAGTAGAACCTAAAAACACAGATGAAATATGACTCTATCATCAGTTTTTCAATAATTTAAGTGAAAGCACTATAACTGTCTCAGCTGCCTTCATTAATGCAAATAACCACCATTTCTTGTATTTGTTTATTAATTACAACCTTTTCCCCACTTTGTATTCCCCTTAATAGATCTTAACTTTTTTCCACAGATTGAAATCAGAGAGGCATGTACACAAATCCCAGTTAATGGTATAATAGTGAATCAGTTTAAAACAAAAAGTAAGTATGGAAGTTTCCGAAAGGACAGAAAAGAAAGAACAACTTATTGAATTTGGTCCCATTCTTGGTTTGAAAGGAAGAAGAGCGTAGAAAAGAAAAGGGGAAAAGATGTATAGTAGCAAATACTGTGCAATTTTGGTGCATGTTATGCTGATAACATAAATAACAGGTTTTGAATAGTTATATCCAAATTTATGAAATTGTTGCATAAAATAAGTACACAAGGGCTGAAAGTATCATATTGATGGTCTTTGGCTGATTAAACATCATTGGCCTACAAAACTCTTATGTTGGTGAAACAAAATATCCATTTCCTAATTTCACTGGAATATCTACTCACATACATTATTATGGCTACTTCTGATATTTGAATAAAAATTTAGTAAGATATAAACAAGAAAGGTCAATTTACTTTTTTGTTATTACTAAGGAATGATTAAAGGTATATTATCAGGCTTTTCACTTGAAAAGAAAACTGAAATTTGAATAGAAATAAAAAGGAGCTACCTTTAACAATCTTCAGGATAGGATAAGATACACATTTCTTTCCTTCCTTCCTTCCTTCCTTCCTTCCTTCCTTCCTTCCTTCCTTCCGGACTTAGGAAATAAATCTGACATATTTTATACAAAAAAAATAAATAAATCTACTCTTTCCCATCCCCCAATAAACAATGGAAATTTCCTAAAGCATTGTTTCTACTTCAAAAAACAAGACAAGGTAATTTAGAACTTCAAATCCATGGAGAATTTCAGTTGAAGAGTATTTCGGAAACATCTCTAGCTGGCATTTGGTCAGGTCCCTCCCAGCATTGGAAAGAGAGCAACAGCTGTGCTCTTGTATCCGACTGGGACTGTTCTGTTTGATGCTACAGGCTGCTATGCTCACGACAGCTGTTTTCACCCGTTTATATTGGCTAGAGAATCTACTTAAGCAGTAGGGATTAGGATCCTGATATCTCTCATATCTTTTCTTGTTTCTAGGTAGCTTTGTTTTATATTGTTTAAAAAAAAAAGACCCAGGTCCTTCTTGTTTGCTACTTTTGCAAAACAAACAAACAAACAAACAAAGCATTGCATGTTATCTATTGTAGTTATCTTCCTCCCTGGATTGTCAGGAAAAAGTCAAAGGAACAGCTGAATACTGTAGTGAGACTTAGATTAGAAAATCAAAATCCCTTTCAAAGGAAAAAAGAAAATAAAAGAAAATCTTTACTCTTCTTCTAAGAAAGATAGATTTAAAAGGTGCTGAGATTTTTTGCTCCCAGAAATCCTTTGCCCTAAGCTTTTTGAGAAAAGTAGAAACATTAGATATGAAACAAAGGTGCTACATTTGTACTTTTTATATATTTGGGGCAGGGGGGAATGTAAAATGAGATGCCAACTAAAATAAACCACTACTGAGAAGGAAATAAAATATATGACCAATTGAAATTTAGAATAGAATACATCATCGTCATACTCAGCCATTCAAGCATGTCCAGTCCTTGACCACTCTATGGATCAGCACTTTCCATGCTTGACTGTCAAGCTGACCATCTGCCATGGTCATCCAATGTCATCCTTTATAGTGTCCAGCCAGGAGATACTATAGCAGCCCTTTCTCTCTTACCACTGATCACTCCCAGCTTGATTTACTTTTCGAGTGAGTCAGCTCTCGTGACATGACCAAAGTAGATAGCCTGTGTTTGGCGATCTTGGCTTCAAGTGATATTTTTGGTGAGGTTCGGTCTACAGCAGGGATCTCCAACCTTGGCAACTTTAAGACTTCTGGACTTGTGGACTTAAACTTCAACTTTAAGACTTGTGGACTTCAACTCTCAGAGTTCCTCGGCCAGCTTTGCAACACTTAAAGTTGCCAAGGTTGGAGACCCCTGCTCTACAGGGTATGTAATAGTTGCCTCTAGCACCACACTTCAAAGATGTCCATCTTTTTCCTATCTGCCTTTTTCAGAGTCCAGGTTTTGCAGCCATAAGTAGCAATTGGAAAAAGTATTGCACTAACTAATCTGCATTTGGTTGTGATGCTGATGTCTTTGCTCTTCCAGATGTTATCCATGCCAGACATTGCAGTTCTTCCAAGTGTTAAACACCTTCTGATCTCAGGGCTCAGTTGATTTTGGAGCCCAGGAAGATGAATTCCTTTACTGTTTTGATGTTCTCATTGTCGATCTGCACTCTGACCTTGTGTTCTCTGCAGTTGTCGTTATCTTTGTTTTCTGATGTTAAGGTGCAGTCCAAATTTCTCAGTTTCAACTCTGACTCTCAAGATTAGCCACTCCAGATCCTCTTTGCTTTCCACAAGCAATTTTGTATCATCGGCATATCGAAAGTTGATATTCCTACCATTTTAATCCCAATGATAGATTCCTCCAAATGTGCATTTCTCATAACTATTTTTGTGTACATGTTGAATAGAAAAGTGACAGGATGCCACCTTGTCAAGTGCTTTTTCCAATTCTGAACCATTTTGTGTTTCCAGAGTGGCTGCCTCATCAGAGTACAATGACTAGATGAGCACAATATGGTGTGGTGATATTCCCAGTTTTTAAAGGCAGTTTTAGAGCTTGTCATGGTCAACACAGTTGAAGGCTTTTGTGTAGTCAATGAAGCACATGTGGAAGTCTTTTACTTTTGGAGTATAAGACACCTCCCCCCCCGCTGGCGCGTCTTATACTCCGAATACAACCATTTTTGGCTCCTGAAGCCCTGCACATCCCATTTTTGCAAAAACAGGGTGCGCAGAGGCTTTGGGAGGCCTGCAGATTGTTTCTGTGGGCTGGGGAGGGCAAAAATGCCCCCATTTCTGTGAAAAACAGGGAAAAAATGGACCAATTTTTCACAAAAATGGGGCACACAGATGCTTTGGGAGGCCTGCAGAGTGCTCCTGGGGGGGCAGGAAGGGCAAAAACTTTATTTCTTGCTCTTCAAAATCTTATTATACGTCTTATACACCAGTACATCTTAAAGTCCAAAAAATACAGTAGTTATTCCTCTGCTTTTTCCACCATCCAATGTATATTGGCAATATGATCATGCATTCATCTTCCTTTCCAAAATCCTGCTTGTACATCAGGCATTTCTCTCTTAGCGGTTAGATTCATTGCTGGATTATCTTCCAGAGAATTTGACTCACCAAACCATAACCTGAGAATTTTTACTCAGGCTATGGTTCGGTAGTTGGAATAGTCATTTGTATTACCTTTCTTTGGTATTGGGATAAACACTGAACTTTTCCATTATTTTGGCCACTGACCAGACTTTCATACACTTTGGCAAAGTGCTGTCAGTGCTTTTGCTGTCAGTGGTCTCGGCAACTCTGCAAGAATTCCATCAGCTCCTGGGCCTTTGCAGTTAGGCAACAGGTTGAGGCCCACACTGCTGCTTCTTCCAGGATATCTGGTTCCATTTCTGGTAGATTCAGTTTCTCCTCTTATGGCTTGGCCTTGTTTTTCATTTGTGTAAAGTTGTTCTACATATTCCCACCATCGTTCTCTGATTGCTTATTGGTCATACAATTCCTGCCCATCACATCCTCTAACCATAGCCTTTCTTGCCATAAATGGGTTTCTGGCCTTCTTCACATAGGTATGACTTTTCATGGCTGCTTATTCCAGTTTCTTACATTGCTTAGCCCAGTACTTTTCTTCATCTTTTCTTGCCTCTCTCTGGAACTTTGCATTTAGTCTTTGCATTATTTCCCTGTCACCAATGGTTTTTGCTTTCCTTCTGTCTTTTGCAGCCTCTATTGTAGCGTCTGATATCCATCTGGATAATTTCGGTGGTTTCTTGTATATGATATATTCTTGGGTTACTTCAGTGATATGTTGTTACTTTTTTTTCTAAATTCCTCCCATAACTCATCTGTTTGTCTTTCTGTGATGCTCAGCAGTTCAAATCTGTTCTTAACTTCAACTGCATATCCAGAGGAATCTTCTCAACATACACTTTCTGAATCATAGGTGGTCATTGGCAACACCTGAACTTTACCTTTTCAGCTAACAGTTTGCGATTTGACTCATAGTCTGCACTAGGAAAAGTTTTCATGGAAAGGATAGAACTTTTCCACTTCTTTTGACGTAATATGTAGTCGATTTGGTTTCAATGTTCTCCGTTTGGTGAAGTCCAAGTGTATAGTTGCTGATTGGGTGTTCAAACCACATGTTCATTATGCTTAGCTGTTATTTATGGCATAGCTGAATCAGATCTTCTTCTGCCTCATTTTATTCATCAAGTGACTGTGATTCCTGTTTCTTCCATTTCTCCCACTTTTTCATTGAAATCTCCAATAATATAGGTAATACCTTTGATGTTTGTTTCAGAGTTCCCTGCAGTTCAGTGCAGAATTCTTTGATGTACAAGCTATTATGTAAATCATTTTTTTACATGCAGTATTATTTAACAAATAAATACAAACAATTTTTAAGGACTGAGGGTCAGTTTGGTGATATGACACCCGACTAGAAACTAGGAGACCATTACTCCTGCCTTAGGCATAAAATCAGCTGGGTGACTTTAGGCCGATTACTTTTTCACACTCCTAGGAAGAAGACAACAATGTCAAACCACTAGGAGCAGCAAAGGATGGAGGGGGGGGGGCAACAAATGATAGAGGAGACTGTCCTGGATCTGGATCAGGGCCATGGTAGCCAGTGTGAAGCCTCATGAGAGCTCAGGATGCTGAGGAGAACCTGGAAACAGGAGCTATGGACAGCTAAAGTTGGGAATGGCAGGGGGACAAGCGAGTCAGCAATGATAAGGTTGGCAAGACTGCTTGTGATCCTACTTCTGCTATCTGAGATACCACATATCTGGTCTATCTCCTATTTGGAACAATTTCATGAACTGTTGGTGTTGGTGCTCTGGTTCCTTGAGGTATTTTTGATTTCGGATGGTGCCTGACTTGGAGGGATTTGAGATATTGGGCAATAGCATTTACTTTGTGTTCCATGACTGGCATTTCTATTGACAATGTATTTTAGGGGCTATAATGGCAGCCAGAC